GTCCAAAAAGGCAAAAAATTAATAAAAGCAAATCGCTTTACAAAAAAAGTTTTTAGGGGTTTTTTTTTTCACTTTAATTTTAAAAAAATGTTCTCAGGGTTGAATGGTCACCAATGTGTTGCCAGAAATTACTAAAAAGTTTTGATCTGTCATACCCGTTGTTTGTGGTTTAATTCCTCATGATGATTTGTCTTAGCCCCCTTGTTCTGGAGGCCCTTCTGGGTTAACAGTGGTGTGCCTGATTCTTGTAAGTTGGTAGCACTGGCTTGTTGCTGGGTGGCTGCCGCCCTCTCCTTTCTCTCTGCTGCTCTTTCTTTCCCGTCTCTCTTCTCTGATTTTGGGCCTTCCTCCGGGTCCCCTTCTCGCCTCCCTCCTCTTTTTCGTCCTCCGCTTTCGCCTTCCCCCCGGGGCCGCCGGGGGCCCAGGTTTTGGGCTCCCACGAGAAAAAAAAGGGAATAACATTTAAATCAAACGGGCCTGAAGAGAGCGGAGTAAGCCACGGGGGCCCCAAGAGGGGGGAGGGAAAGTAAAACAGCGCAAAAGGGGCCCGCGGGAAGCCCGGGCGAGAAAATGCGGAGGCCGCGAGGAGAGGCAGAGAGGGGTCGGAGGGAAAAACCAGTTTTCCAGTCCATCGCGGGGGGCTTCGTCCTTCCCCTTTATCGCCCTCCTCTACCCGATCTGGGCGGTCCGTGTACTCCATCCTCTGCCTTCATCCATCTCCTCCTTCTCTCTTCTCTGCCAGAGTACGTTGAGCATATACAGGACATAAATAATGTAAATAATCTGGACCAGTCAATTCCAATTCAGCTGTTATGAAACAACAGACGTTTGGGAATCACTGTGCTCTGTTAGTAGAGTCAATCTATCTCCAGTAGTTGGGGCTGAGTGAGTATTTCTCAATGTGTTCTGTCAGTATTGGCTGGGAAAGTCTGGGCAGAGATGTTCTCTGCCAGAGAGTAAGTTGAGCGAGAGAAGACCAGGGCTTTTAGCCTCCTATTGGGAAAAGACCATTATGAATGACTGGTCATTGATCAATGAAATACTATTGAATTGGGGAATTCTTCTCTCGGCTATTTTGGAAGGTAGGCTCCTCTATGTGTGTGTGTGTGTGTGTGTGTGTGTGTGTGTTGTGTGTGGTGTGTGTGTGTGTGTGTTGTGTGGGGTGTGTGGTGTGTGTGTGTGTGTGTGTGTGTGTGTGTGTGTGTGTGTGTGTGTGTGTGTGTGTGTGTGTGTGTGTGTGTGTGTGTGTGTGTGTATGCTTGGTACTGTCACAGAAAACCATAACCAACAATACATTTGCTCAGGGCAGTTTGTAATGTGATTTTACATTATTAAAGATGAAGCGGCCCAAACAAACACTGGAGAGTAACATCATACATTACCACACCAGAGAAAGAGACTGTGCCAATAACTCAGACTGCCAGGACACAGGACACGGAAAGAGAAAGAGAGGGAGAGAGTGGGAATTAGATTGATACTGTTTCAAGAAAAGGGAGAGAAAAAAGTAGATGGATGGAGAAAGGGACAATCTGAGAGAGAGATGGACAGTTGGCAGGAGACAGGGACAATCTGAGAGAGAGAGGGACAGTTGGCAGGAGACAAGGGACAATCTGAGAGAGATGGACAGTTGGCAGGAGAAAGGGACAATCTGAGAGAGAGATGGACAGTTGGCAGGAGACAAGGGACAATCTGAGAGAGAGGGACAGTTGGCAGGAGACCGGGTAAATCTGAGAGAGAGGAGGGACAGGTTGGCAGGGAGAAAGGGACAATCTGAGAGAGAGATTGACAGTTGGCAGGAGACAGGGTAATCTGAGAGAGAGAGATGGACAGTTGGCAGGAGAAAGGGACAATCTGAGAGAGATGGACAGTTGGCAGGAGACAAGGGACAATCTGAGAGAGAGATAAAGGGACAGTTGGCAGGAGACAGGGACAATCTGAGAGAGATGGACAGTTGGCAGGAGGACAGGGTAATCTGAGAGAGAGATGGACAGTTGGCAGGAGACAGGGACAATCTGAGAGAGAGATGGACAGTTGGCAGGAGACAAGGGACAATCTGAGAGAGAGATGGACAGTTGGCAGGAGACAAGGGACAATCTGAGAGAGAGATGGACAGTTGGCAGGAGACAAGGGACAATCTGAGAGAGATGTACAGTTGGCAGGAGACAGGGACAATCTGAGAGAGAGATTGACAGTTGGCAGGAGACAGGGTAATCTGAGAGAGAGAGGGACAGTTGGCAGGAGAAAGAGACAATCTGAGAGAGATGGACAGTTGGCAGGAGACAGGGTAATCTGAGAGAGATGGACAGTTGGCAGGAGACAGGGACAATCTGAGAGAGATGGACAGTTGGCAGGAGAAAGGGACAATCTGAGAGAGAGGCGGACAGTTGGCAGGAGACAGGGACAATCTGAGAGAGATGGACAGTTGGCAGGAGAAAGGGACAATCTGAGAGAGATGGACAGTTGGCAGGAGACAAGGGACAATCTGAGAGAGAGATAGAGGGACAGTTGGCAGGAGACAGGGACAATCTGAGAGAGATGGACAGTTGGCAGGAGACAGGGACAATCTGAGAGAGAGATGGACAGTTGGCAGGAGACAAGGGACAATCTGAGAGGAGAGATGGGACAAGTTGGCAGGAGACAAGGGACAATCTGAGAGAGGATGGACAGTTGGTCAGGAGAAAGGGACAATCTGAGAGAGAGATGGACAGTTGGCAGGAGAAAGGGACAATCTGAGAGAGAGATGGACAGTTGGCAGGAGAGAGACAGGGTAATCTGAGAGAGAGAGGGACAGTTGGCAGGAGACAAGGGACAATCTGAGAGAGATGGACAGTTGGCAGGAGAAAGGGACAATCTGAGAGAGAGAGAGAGGGACAGTTGGCAGGAGACAAGGGACAATCTGAGAGAGATGTACAGTTGGCAGGAGACAGGGACAATCTGAGGAGAGAGATTGACCCAGTTGGCAGGAGACAGGGTAATCTGAGAGAGAGAGGGACAGTTGGCAGGAGACAGGGTAATCTGAGAGAGACAGGGACAGTTGGCAGGAGACAGGGACAATCTGAGAGAGAGATGGACAGTTGGCAGGAGACAGGGTAATCTGAGAGAGAGAGGGACAGTTGGCAGGAGACAAGGGACAATCTGAGAGAGATGGACAGTTGGCAGGAGAAAGGGACAATCTGAGAGAGAGAGAGAGGGACAGTTGGCAGGAGACAGGGACAATCTGAGAGAGAGATTGACAGTTGGCAGGAGACAGGGTAATCTGAGAGAGCATGAAACAGTTGGCAGGAGACAAGGGACAATCTGAGAGAGAGATGGACAGTTGGCAGGAGAAAGGGACAATCTGAGAGAGAGATGGACAGTTGGCAGGAGACAGGGTAATCTGAGAGAGATGGACAGTTGGCAGGAGAAAGAGACAATCTGAGAGAGATGGACAGTTGGCAGGAGACAGGGACAATCTGAGAGAGAGATTGACAGTTGGCAGGAGACAGGGTAATCTGAGAGAGAGAGGGACAGTTGGCAGGAGACAGGGACAATCTGAGAGAGATGGACAGTTGGCAGGAGAAAGGGACAATCTGAGAGAGATGGACAGTTGGCAGGAGAAAAGGGACAATCTGAGAGAGAGATAGAGGGACAGTTGGCAGGAGACAGGGACAATCGAGGAGAGAGATGGACAGTTGGCAGGAGACAGGGTAATCTGAGAGAGAGATGGACAGTGGCAGGAGGACAAGGGACAATCTGAGAGAGAGATGGACAGTTGGCAGGAGACAAGGGACAAATCTGAGAGAGAGATGGACAGTTGGAAGGAGACAAGGGACAATCTGAGAGAGAGATGGACAGTTGGCCGGAGGACAAGGGACAATCTGAGAGAGAGATGGACAGTTGGCAGGAGACAGGGTAATCTGAGAGAGAGAGTGGACAGTTGGCAGGAGACAGGGTAATCTGAGAGAGGATGGACAGTTGGCAGGAGGACAGGGACAATTGAGAGAGAGGAGATTGGACAGTGGCAGGAGGACAGGGTAATCTGAGAGAGAGATGGACAGTTGGCAGGAGACAAGGGACAATCTGAGAGAGATGGACAGTTGGCAGGAGACAGGGTAATCTGAGAGAGAGATGGACAGTTGGCAGGAGACAGGGACAATCTGAGAGAGAGATGGACAGTTGGCAGGAGACAAGGGACAATCTGAGAGAGAGATGGACAGTTGGCAGGAGACAGGGATAATCTGAGAGAGAGATGGACAGTTGGCAGGAGAAAGGGACAATCTGAGAGAGATGAACAGTTGGCAGGAGACAAGGGACAATCTGAGAGAGATGGACAGTTGGCAGGAGAAAGGGACAATCTGAGAGAGAGATGGACAGTTGGCCGGAGACAAGGGACAATCTGAGAGAGATGAACAGTTGGCAGGAGACAAGGGACAATCTGAGAGAGAGAGGGACAGTTGGCAGGAGAAAGGATAGGAAGTGAAGGATCATTAAAACAGCTCAGTGTTGACTTAAAATGTATGAATAAAAAGCCCTCTAACATACATGCCTGTCTCTACCGCTCCACCCCACCTCTCCTCCCCACTCAATTCAATTCAATTCAATTGAGTGGGAAGGAGAGGAGGAGTGGTACAGACAGGCATGTAGTTAGAGGGTCTATTTTACCCATTGATCTGAAGACGAGGGAGAAGGAGAGAGAATTATACTGCCGTATCTTCTCCCATCTTATGCTGTTGCTCTGCGAGTCTATCTCGCTACTATCTCTATTCTCATCTCTCTCTCTCTCTCTTTCGCTATGCTCTCGCTCCTCTCTCATCTCTCTCTCTCTCATCTCTCCTCCTTCGCTCTCTCTTCTCCTCCATCTTTTCTCTCTCTCTCTCGTCACCAGCCACGGCCACCCTAGCCCCAGGCCCCTGTAACGCTACAGACATCACTAAATGGGACAAGCTCTTCTCCCTGCTGGAGAACTCTCAGATGAGGGAGACATGCTTCTGCAGTACTCCGATGACATCATCAAGGTGGAGTTGGGGGTCGCTGCGTGGAGAGATGCTAAGGTTGGTTTTTGAGAAGAAAGTCTGTGCTATGTATATGCACTTATATAAACACCCTTACTGTATATAAACACCCTTACTGTATTTAAAGACCCTACTGTATTTAAAACACCTTTATGGATATAAACACCCTTACTGTATATAAACAACCTTACTGTATTTAAACACCTTTACTGTATATAAACACCTTTACTGTATATAAAGACCCTTACTGTATTTAAACACCCTTACTGTATTTAAACACCCTTACTGTATATAAACACCCTTACTGTATATAAACACCCTTACTGTATTTAAACACTTTACTGTATATAAACACCTTATGTATATAAACACCCTTACTGTATTTAAACACCCTTACTGTATATAAACACCCTTACTGTATATAAACACCCTTACTGTATTTAAACACCTTTACTGTATATAAACACCCTTACTGTATATAAACACCCTTACTGTATTTAAACACCTTTACTGTATATAAACACCTTTACTGTATATAAAGACCCTTACTGTATATAAACACCCTTACTGTATTTAAACACCCTTACTGTATTTAAACACCCTTACTGTATATAAACACCCTTACTGTATATAAACACCCTTACTGTATATAAACACCCTTACTGTATATAAACACCTTTACTGTATTTAAACACCTTTACTGTATATAAACACCCTTACTGTATATAAAGACCCTTAGAGCTGCCGAACAAAAATATCAACGCAACATGTCCCATGTTTCATGAGCTGAAATAAAACAATCCCAGAAATGTTCCATATGCACAAAAAGCTTATTTCTCTCAAATGTTGCGCTCAAATTTGTGGATTGGCTGGGCCTGGCTCCTCAGTGGGTGGATCTTGCTCCCAAGTATGTGGGTCTATGCCCTCCCAGGCCCATCCATGGCTGCACCCCTACGCAGTCATGTGAAATCCATAGATTAGGGCCTAATGAATTTATTTAAATTGACTGATTTCCTTCTATGAACTGTAACTCAGTAAAATCTTTGAAATTGTTGCATGTTGTGTTTATATTTTTGTTCAGTATAAATGGAACTCTCAGCCAATGGAACATAACCACCAATCCCAAATTGACCTTTACCCCCCTAACCCCTGTACACCTGTGTACAGTCATGGTCAAAGGTTTTGAGAATGACACAAGTATTGGTCTGCTTCAGTGTTTTTAAGATGTTTTTGTCAGATGTTACTATGAAGTATAATTACAAGCATTCCATAAGTGTCAAAGGCTTTTATTGACACTTACATGAAGTTTATGCAAAGAGTCAATATTTGCAGTGTTGACCCTTCTTTTTCAAGACCTCTGCAATCCGCCCTGGCATGCTGTCAATTAACTTCTGGGCCACATCCTGACTGATGGCAGCCCATTCTTGCATAAGCAATGCTTATAGTTTGTCAGAATTTGTGGGGTTTTGTTTGTCCACCCGCCTCTTGAGGATTGACCACAAGTTCTCAATGGGATTAAGGTCTGGGGAGTTTCCTGGCTATGGACCAAAATTTCGATGTTTTGATCCCCGAGTCACTTAGTTATCACTTTTGCCTTATGGCAAGGTGCTCTATCATGCTGTAAAAGGCATTGTTCATCACCAAACTGTTCTTGGATGGTTGGGAGAAGTTGCTCTCGGAGGATGTGTTGGTACCATTCTTTATTCATGGCTGTGTTCTTAGGCAAAATTGTGAGTGAGCCCACTCCCTTGGCTGAGAAGCAACCCCACACATGAATGGTCTCAGGATGCTTTATTGTTGGCATGACACAGGACTGATGGTAGCGCTCACCTTGTCTTCTCCGGACAAGCTTTTTTCCGGATGCCCCAAACAATCGGAAAGGGGATTCATCAGATAAAATTACTTTAACCCAGTCCTCAGCAGTCCAATCCCTGTACCTTTTGCAGAATATCAGTCTGTCACTGATGTTCTGGAGAGAAGTGGCTTCCTCGCTGCCCTTCTTGACACCAGGCCATCCTCCAAAAGTCTTTGCCTCACTGTGCGTGCAGATGCACTCACACCTGCCTACTGCCATTCCTGAGCAAGCTCTGCACTGGTGGTGCCCCGATCCCGCAGCTGAATCAACTTTAGGAGACGTCCTGGCGCTTGCTGGACTTTCTTGGGCGCCCTGAAGCCTTCTTCACAACAATTGAACCTCTCTCCTTGAAGTTCTTGATGATCCGATAAATGGTTGATTTAGGTGCAATCTTACTAGCAGCAATATCCTTGCCTGTGAAGCCCTTTTTGTGCAAAGCAATGATGACGGCACGTGTTTCCTTGCAGGTAACCATGGTTAACAGAGGAAGAACAATGATTTCAAGCACCACCCTACTTTTAAAGCTTCTAGTCTGTTATTCTAACTCAATCAGCATGACAGAGTGATCTCCAGCCTTTTCCTCGTCAACACTCTCACCTGTGTTAACGAGAGAATCACTGACATGATGTAAGCAGGTCCTTTTGTGGCAGGGCTGAAATGCAGTGGAAATGTTTTTTTGGGGGGGAGATTAAGTTCATTTTCATGGCAAAGAGGGACTTTGCAATTAATTGCAATTCATCTGATCACTCTTCATAACATTCTGGACTATATGCAAATTGCCATCATAAAAATCTGAGGCAGCACACTTTGTGAAAATTAATATTTGTGTCATTCTCAAAACTTTTGACCACGACTGTATATCTGAAAGCAGTCCGTGTGGAAAAGGGCGTAAGAAACTACTGGTGCAGTTGGCTAGCTTGGCTCCCATGTGTACTGTACTTCCTGGTCTCTGATGTAATCCCTCTCTAATCCCTCTTCTCCTCACCCCAGGTTCGTGGCTCAGTACGGAGAGGCCTGTGGCATTGCAGTGGAGACCGCTGGACGGAGGATGTCCATGCAGATGGAGGCTCGCCTCAGGGAGAGCATGGGGCATCTCAGACAGGATCGGAGCATTGCTGCTAGCGATTCAGCAGGGAATAGCCATCAGGAAAAGCTGTTACAGCAGCTTCTTACTGCGGCGAGGACACAAGATATCCGACTCATCAAGCTGGAAAACAGCTGCCTGAGTAATCCAGAGGCTAAGGGGGAAAACCTGCAGCAGGAAGTGGCATCAGCAGAGATGCTGGATGCCGTGGTGACAGAGTTGGTGAAGACGAGGGCAGTGCTAGAGCTAGTGTTCAAATCGGCACAGCAACGACACCTGCCCGCAGGTGAGAACACCACTTCCTGTGTCCCTATCTATACATCCTGCCATCCTTTACATCAGTGGTTCTCAACCATGGGTACTAGTACTTGGCCTATCCACAGGGGGTACTTGACTCAACCAGGGGTACTAGTACTTGGCCTATCCACAGGGGGTACTTGAGAAGACTCATGAGACCGTAGGCTTACTGGTCAAATGCACATGAGGGGGTAGTTCAGGTGTACTCTGGGCAGAGCAGCATGTCCTTGTGGTAGAGCAACCGAACAAGGTTGAGAAGCCCTGCTCTACATAATGTAGCAGATTTATGTTTAGACACAATCAGGTAATACAGCACTCCTCTTACAAGAATCACACCAGACATCCCTCCCAGGCAATTTGATCCTTACAACCGATCGATTCTTGAAAGAATGAAAATAGGAAATACAGTGACTTGCAAAAGTATTCATCCCCCCGTTGGCGTTTTTCCTATTTTGTTGCATTACAACCTGTAATTTAAATTGATTTTTATTTGGATTTCATGGACATACACAAAATAGTCAAAATTGGTGAAGTGAAATGTAAAAAAATTACTTGTTTCAGAAAATTCTAAAAAATAAATAACGGAAAAGTGGTGCGTGCATTTGTATTTACTCCCTTTGCTATGAAACCCCTAAATAAGATCTGGTGCAACTAATTAGCTTCATAAATCACATAATTAGTTAAATAAAGTCCACCTGTGTGCAATCTAAGTGTCACATGATCTGTCACATGATCTCAGTATATATACACCTGTTCTGAAAGGCCCCAGTCTGCAACACCACTAAACAAGGGGTACCACCAAGCAAGCAGCACCATGAAGACCAAGGAGCTCTCCAAACAGGTCAGGGACAAAGTTGTGGAGAAGTACAGATCAGGGTTGGGTTATAAAAAAATATCAGAAACTTTGAACATCCCACGGAGCACCATTAAATCCATTATTAAAAAATGGAAAGAATATGGCACCACAACAAACCTTCCAAGAGAGGGCCGCCCACCAAAACTCACAGATCAGGCAAGGACGGCATTAATCAGAAAGGCAACAAAGAGACCAAAGATAACCCTGATGGAGCTGCAAAGCTCCACAGCGGAGATTGGAGTATCTGTCCATAGGACCACTTTAAGCCGTACACTCCACAGAGCTGGGCTTTACGGAAGAGTGGCCAGAAAAAAGCCTTGGCTTACAGACAAAAATAAGCAAACACGTTTGGTGTTCGCCAAAAGGCATGTGGGAGACTCCCCAAACATATGGAAGAAGGTACTCTGGTCAGATGAGACTAAAATTGAGCTTTTTGGCCATCAAGGAAAACGCTATGTCTGGCGCAAACCCAACACCTCTCATCACCCTGAGAACACCATCCCCACAGTGAAGCATGGTGGTGGCAGCATCATGCTGTGGGGATGTTTTTCATCGGCAGAGACTGAGAAACTGGTCAGAATTGAAGGAATGATGAATGGCGCTAAATACAGAAATTCTTGAGGGAAACCTGTTTCAGTCTTCCAGAGATTTGAGACTGGGACGGAGGTTCACCTTCCAGCAGGACAATGACCCTAAGCATACTGCTAAAGCAACACTTGAGTGGTTTAAGGGGAAACATTTAAATTGTCTTGGAATGGCCTAGTCAAAGCCCAGACCTCAATCCAATTGAGAATCTGTGGTATGACTTAAAGATTACTGTACACCAGCGGAACCCATCCAACTTCAAGGAGCTGGAGCAGTTTTGCCTTGAAGAATGGGCAAAAATCCCAGTGCCTAGATGTGCCAAGCTTATAGAGACATACCCCAAGAGACTTGCAGCTGTAATTGCTGCAAAAGGTGGCTCTACAAAGTATTGACTTTGGGGGGGGGGGGGGGGGGGGGGGGGGGGGGGGGTGAATAGTTATGCACGCTCAAGTTTTCCATTATTTTGTCTTATTTCTTGTTTGTTTCACACACAAAAAAAATATTTTCCATCTTCAAAGTGGTAGGCATGTTGTGTAAATTAAATGATACAAACATCCGTGTTCCAAGCCCAGTCTCTGCATCTGAAATATACCCACAGGTCCTGTTCAGGCCTACTTACTCTGTTGAAATTCAATCAAAAAACTAAATGAGTTATAGGACTTATAATAAGCCCAGAGAGCAACAAGGCTATTGTTCTATAAAGAGGAGTCTCTAAGAATCAGGTCTGTTCATATAGAGCTGCCAGGCCTTTCAGTGAGCCCAGCTCCAGTTCCCAGCATTAATCGGATAAAAACTCAATGTTTTTTATGTTACACACACACAGGCTATATCACCCGCCCTGTAAATACGCCCTGAATACTGAGCAGAGGGAGGTATAATCATTAGCAGGTCGGCAAAGCAACCACAGCAAAGCACCCTGGCAAAGCAGAACCAGATGGGAACGGTTACCCCCCCACCGGAGAGAAATCTGAGACAAATGTAACGTCAATATTTAGGGTCTGGTAGGAGGAGTCTCTGTATCATAACCTAGCTATCAGAAATGCTGCTGCAGAGATAGGGGGAAGGGAGCTGTCCACACTGATTCAAAACCCACTTTGTCATACACAAATCATACATAATCATACACACACACACACATACATACATACATACATACATACATACATACAAAGACTGATTCAAACCTCCAGAAGTGATTTCCTCTTCTGGTCTGACTCTGGGTTTATGCATTATCTCATGGTTTTATTATCCCGTTGATAGACCTCACACAGTAGAGCTGCACACACACACACACACAGTCTTGTACAGCTAACCTTGTGGAGACACACAATTCAGTCCCATTCAAAATCCTATTTTCCCTAACCCCTAACCCTAACCTTAACCCGTACTCTTACCCTTACCCTAACCTTAACCCAAAAACCTTAACCCTAACCCTAACCCTAAACCTATCTCCTAGCTCCTAACCCTAACCCTAACCCTAACCCTAACCCTAGCTCCTAACCCTAACCCTAAAACTAACCCTAGCTCCTAACCCTAAACTTAATTCTAACACTAACACTAACCTTAAACCCCCTAGAAATAGCATTAGACCTTGTGGGGACCAACAAAATGTCCCCAGTTAGTCAAATGTTAGTTTGTTTACTATTCTTGTGGGGACTTCTGGTCCCCACAAGAATAGTTAAACACGTCCACACACACACACACACACACAGACACACACACACACACACACACAGACAGGCCTACTTGTGCACAAGCAAACAAGAGAGAGGTGTGTGTGATAAGAAACAGACATGGTGACCATGGTGACCATACAGTTTACTCTGTCATTGCTTAAAGGAAAGAGAGAGAGAGAGAGAAAAAACTACTGCGCCCGCAGAGTGGGAAAAAAGACAGGGGAAAACTTTGGGTCTATGACATCACTGATCGCATTACCGCTGACCGCAACCTGAACCTCGACCACCCTCTCTCTCACACCATGGTCTACCGCTCAAATACCAAACTGCTCCATTGGCATGACTGTTAAAGGTTCAACCATAGAGATCCTATACAGTATATATAATTCTATAGTCATTCATATTTGGGAAGAACAATAACTAGGTAGCATCCTATTGATGAATTTGATGTCCCAAAACATTTGCACAAACAGTGAATATAATGTAGTCCTACCTGTTAGGGTAACTTGGGGTAAACCGCCACCCGAGGTAACACGCCCCCTGCCTGAACTTCTCACAGAAACCACTTTTCCACCATTTCCCCCCTTCCAACATTTTCCCTGGTTGCCACTACTCTTGCTCAACTAAAAATCTGTCTCATCACAATTTTTTAAGTCACTCCACCAAAAAAATATATTTTACCCCAAGGTACCCTACAATTGACCCGTGTTACATTTAGCCCCACTCTCCCCTAGGCACTCACGATGAATTGCAGAGCAACTCGCTTAACCATCCTACTGCTACAAACTCTGGGTTTAAAACGGTGTCGTTTGCACATATTTAGGAGTTGAGAAATAAAAACATTGGCAACGGAAAGCTGGGAGCCACCTCTTTTTAATAAAGGCCATTAAAACTGCTTTTTTCGCGATTGCAAGAAGTGTTGTGCGTTGACTACTTGTCAGAATGCATGTTCGCATCCCTATGGCACAGGTAACTTGAATGCGCCTTGAGAGGAATGTTTATATATCGCATAGAAGACACAACAACAAGCCGACTAGGTAAATAGATCAACTATTCCACTATGGGGTTGGCAGATTTTTCTATTCATTAGTCGTTTTGTTTGCAGAGGAAAAGTACATGTGGACTGATCAAGCACCTTCAAAGTGCGCCTCGGCAGAAATATTTTTTCATCTTCCTTATTTTTAGGGCGTGGCGGCAATGATTTTGCCGTGGCGCAGCGCCACAGCAAAATGACTTCAGCGGAAACACTGTCTATGATATACAGTACCAGTCAAAAGTTTGGACACACCTACTCATTCAAGGGTTTTTCTTTATTTGTACTATTTTTTACATTGTAGAATAATAGTGAAGACATCAAAACTATGAAATAACACATATGGAATCATGTAGTAACCAAAAAAGTGTTAAACAAATCTAAATATATTTTATATTTGAGATTCTTCAAATAGCCATCCTTTGCCTTGATGACAGCGCTAATGATGAAACTGTCTCTCATGAGGACCGATCACAGGAATGGAAGACCCAGAGTTACCTCTGCTGCAGAGGATAAGTTCAATAGAGTTACCAGCCTCAGAAATTGCAGCCCAAATAAATGCTTCACAGAGTTCAAGTCACAGACACATCTCAACATCAACTGTTCAGAGGGGACTGTGTGAATCAGGCCTTCATGGTCGAATTGCTGCAAAGAAACCACTACTAAAGGACACCAATAAGGAGAAGAGACCTGCTTGGGCCAAGAAGCACGAGAAATGGCCATTAGACCGGTTGAAATTTGTCCTTTGGTCTGGAGTCCAAATTGGACATTTTTGGTTCCAACCGCTGTGTCTTTGTGAGACCCGGTGTGGGTGAACGGATGATCTCCGCATGTGAATTTTCCACCGTAAAGCATGGAGGAGGAGGTGTTATGGTGCTTTGCTTGTGACACTGTAATTTATTTAGAATTCAAGGCACACTTAACCAGCATGGCTACCACAGCATTCTGCAGCGATACGCCATCCCATCTGGTTTGGGCTTAGTGGGACTATCATTTGTTTTTCAACAGGACAATGACTCAACACACCTCCAGGCTGTGTAAGGGCTATTTTACCAACAAGGAGAGTGATGGAGTGCTGCATCAGATGACCTGGCCTCCACAATCTCCCGACCTCAACCCAATTGAGATGGTTTGGGATGAGTCGGACAGCAGAGTGAAGGAAAAGCAGCCAACAAGTGCTAAGCATATGTGGGAACTCCTTCAAGACTGTTGGAAAAGCATTAATCAAGGCAAATGGTGGCTATTTGAACTTTTTTGGTTACTACATGATTCCATATGTGTTATTTCCTAGTTTTGATGTCTTCACTATTATTCTACAATGTAGAAAACAGTAAAAATAAAGAAAATCCTTGAATGAGTAGGTGTGTCCAAACTTTTGACCGGTACTGTACATAACTAATATCTAGTGTAGTGTTTCTTGATGTGAGAACTTTTGTGATAAAGACATGATGATCTGGTCATCTGTAGTGATTCTGAGAACAGAGCAGAGGCCTGAAGAAGCCCTGTGAGACAGCATGAGGGCAGAGGGCAGAGGGCAGAGGGCAGGGTCTGTTTCCCTTTCTCTCCCTTCAAACAAATGACAACATTTTGACTTTTCGTCATCCTGTGGTTTCCTGATTTTGTCATCTTGCAGATCAATTAATAACCGCAAAATGACTAAAGCAATTATCTCGTTCTCTCCTCCCTCTCTCCTCTCTCCCAGGCTGTGAGACCGCTCTTCTCTTCCCTATGCGTTCCCGTCGCATCTTCTCCTCGGTGACACCAGACCTCCCTCTCTCCCTGTCTTTCTTCACCGTGTGCCTGTGGGCTAAGCCCGTCTCCATATCCAACAGAACCGTGCTGTTCTCCTACGGAACCAAACGGAACCCCTATGAGATACAGCTCCTTCTCAGCGGAACCAGGGCTCTCTTCACCGTGGGAGGAGAGGCTCACCTGGTGGAGGGGCGGGGCGTGGTGAAAGGAGGAGGAGTTTGGACCCACCTATGTGGGTCTTGGAGCTCTGAGCAGGGCATAGCGTCACTATGGGCCGATGGACACAGAGTGGCATTCACACCCGGGGTGGCCGAGGGCCGCATGTTACCCGATGGAGGCTCACTCCAGCTTGGGCAAGAGAAGAACGGCGGTGGGGTCTCTGGAGGGTCAGGTGGCAGTGGGAGTCAGCTGCCTGGGTTTGAGGGAGACTTCGATGCCAAGTTGGCATTCGCTGGGAAGATGACGGGGGTGAACATGTGGGACCGTGTGCTGGCGGAGGATGAGATATCCCAGCTGGCTTTGCAGGACGGCAAGGGGTGTGAGCAGAGGGGGAATGTAGTTGGGTGGGGCTTGACGGAGATTGTGCCTCATGGGGGCGCTCAGTTCATCAACTAACTCTAATGACGTTTTCATCATCATCATCATCATCATCATCATCATCATCATTTAAATCAACTCTAACATCATCATCTTCATCATCATAATCATCATCATTTAAATGAACTATCATTATCATCATTTAAATGAACTATCATTATCATCATTTAAATGAACTATCATTATCATCATCGTCCTCGTCCTCTAACTCTGCTGCCCCAAGACCTGCAGTGCAGAACAGCCCAACCAGCTGAGACTGCAACAACAATGTGAACATGAACAACAACAACAACAACAACATTCCTCTGAATGTGCCCTGTTTGAGGAGTGTTTCCCATTTAGAGAAGCAGGAGAGTGGTAACACACATGTACACACATGTACACACACACACACACACACACACACACACACACACACACACACACACACACACTCTTCGTGAGAAGCATTAGTATACATAGCCTTAGGAGGAGAAGTGGGGAAAACAACATTTACCAAAGATTTCAAGAGAAGAAAGGAGTGGAAGAACAGAGGAGAGAGAGAGAGACAAAGAGCTCATTGTGTGGAAGGAGGGATGCTTTGGGTCAACTGTCTGCAAGGGTCACCACTAGATGGCCATGCTAGAGAGGACAACATTGGCTATATCATCAGAAGTATTGTGCAAGTACGTTATCTGTTTGTTATTAATCGAGTGTTAGGGTTAAGGGGTAAGGTAAATGGTAAATGTTGAGGTTTGGGTTAGTTGTTAAAGTGGCATTGTGGTTAAAAAACACTTTACATTCGTCCTCTCTGGCATGGCTACGTAGCGACAACCATCTGCAAGCTGCCATGGGAGGTTTTAATCATTATATTACCTTATAATCTTGTGTTTCCGGAAAAAGTTGTTTCCAACTTGTTTCCAACTTTGTATTTATCAAAGTGTTTACATTCAGATGTGACAAACATAATATTTCAGTTGTTTTGTGTTTTGCTTTTGCTTTCCATATATCCAGAGGGGTTTATTGTCTTTGAGACAGAAACACTTGATTTGAAAAGCGGAACTGTGGACAATGTTTACAGAATCTGTTACGACTATCTCTGCTCATTTGTTAACGTAGTAGGCAATGTGTATCATACTGTAAATTATTTTGTGTTTTTTTGTCAAGAAGTAAAAATGAATGTATTTTGTATATAAATACTTTTTGATTAGAATTGGAGACGAAGGTATTAATAAAACGACATGTTAACATTATGCCTCTGATGCATTTCTTCATCACCAACAGGAAAGACAAGTTTAAGCAGAGTGATGTTTGTTTCCATTTTGATCTATTTCCCCATTTTAGTCATCTTACAACAGTTGTTGAGTCATTATTGCATATTAACTTAATTCAACAGTCTTTCACTTTATTTAGATAGCCCCAATGTACATCTACAGAGGGTTACTAGAGTGTTAGTAAATGCACTGAACATGCTCATCAGTTGATACTTACACTATATATACAAAAGTATGTGGACACCCCTTCAAATCAGTGGATTTGGCTATTTCAGACACACCTGTTGCTGACAGGTATATAAAATTGAGCACACAGCCATGCAATCTCCATAGACAAACATTGGTAGTAGAATGGCCTTACTGAAGAGCTCAGTGACTTTCAACGTGGCACCGTCATAGGATGCCACCTTTCCAACAAGTCAGTTGGTCAAATTTCTGCCTTGATAGAGCTGCCCCGGTCAACTGTAAGTGCTGTTATTGTGAAACGTCTAGGAGCAACAACGGCTCAGCCACGAAGTGGTAGGCCACACAAGCCACACGACGGACAAATCTGGGTTTGGCGGATGCCAGGCGAACGCTACCTGCCCGAATGCATAGTGCCAACTGTAAAGTTTGGTGGAGGAGGAATAATGGTCTGGGGCTGTTTTTCGTGGTTCGGGCTAGGCCCCTTAGTTCCAATTAAGGGAAATCTTAACACTACAGCATACAATGACATTCTAGACGATTCTGTGCTTCCAAGTTTGTGGCAACAGTTTGGGGAAGGCCCTTTCCTGTTTCAGCATGACAATGCTCCCGTGCACAAAGCGAGATCAATACAGAAATGGTTTGTCGAGATCGGTGTGGAAGAACTTGGCTGGCCTGCACAGAGCCCTGACCTCAACCCCATCAAACACCTTTAGGATGAATTGGAACGCCGACTGCGAGCCAGGCCTAATCGCCCAACATCAGTGCCCGACCTCAGTAATGCTCGTGGCTGAATAGAAGCAAGTCCCCGCAGCAATGTTCAAAACATCTAGTGGAAAGCCTTCCCAGAAGAGTGGAGGCTGTTATAGCAGCAAAGGGGGGGGGCAACTCCATATTAATGCCCATGATTTTGGAATGAGATGTTCGACAAGCAGGTGTCCACATACTTTTGGTCATGTAGTGTAGTTGAATGTGAAGTAGATAGTCTGTAGACCGTCAACTAATCCCAACTTGTGTTTTACTTTATTTGGATAGTCCCAAAGCATATATACATTTAGTTACTAGAATGACAAAAAATATGCTGTTAAACTGATATGCAGTTGAGATGCCGGTGATAGTCTCCTGATTGTGTGTTGATCATCTATAGATTGGGCTTGGCATTTGTGCAAGTGATGGGACATACTGTTGAAACATTACTGACATGCTACAGATATGCTGTTGAAATGCTGCAGATAGTCTACAAATGGTTTGTCAAGCATCTATAGACAGACTATAGACTCCCTTGTTGAAAATGATGAGATATACTGTTGAGATGCTACTAAGAGGCTGAAGACATGCTGTTGACATGCTGCCGATAGTCTACATATATTTTGTCAAGCATCTGTTGCTGGAGCACAGACACTTTCTTGTTGAAAGTCAACAGACATGCTGTTGACATGTTACTGATAGTCTGTAGAAAGTCTGTAGAGCATCTACAGATGGACCATTCAAATAAAGTGTTACCGTGTTGTCTTTCTGGACTAAAGACAAACTGTTAACCCTTACATTGTGAAAAGGTTCAGTAAAAACATAGGACTACAGTCTAGAAACTACAACTTCAGTATAAGCGATGTTAGGTTCCACCTCTTTCCATCAACTCCCCCCCTCTACCCTCCCCTCATCCCCCCTCTTACCCCTTCCTCCTACCTCACTCTTTTTCCCCAAGACATGGTACTGTATCAGCATATGCTGATTGTTAACCCTGCCCCCCTGTCCCGCAGCCCAGAGAACCAATAACAAATGACCTCTCTCCTCCCAGCAGCCACCAGTTCAGGAAGTAGGATAATGTCATGTGGTTCAGGTGAGGTCGGGGGGGGGGGGGGGGGGGGGGGGGGGGGGGGGGGGTTGAGTTCTGGGTGGACAGCCAAGAGTTTGTGTGTATGTAGGGTGTATCTGATAATGAGGTAGGCCTGTGGGGTTTCCTGTAGTTGCATGTAAAACCTTAACATTGTGCCCCCTGCTAGCTTCCTTTCTACCCCTCCCCGGATTTAAACAAGTCTTTGAGGTTGTAACACACATATACTGTACACATGTGGATCACACACACACAGTGCTAGCTCATTATCTGCCACCAGAACAGCTTCAGTGCACCTTGGTATAGATTCTACAAGTGTCTGGAACTCTGTTGCAGGGATGCAACCCCATTCTTCCACGATAAATTCCATAATTTGGTGTTTTGTTGATGAGGGTGGAAAATGCTGTTTCAGGCGCCACTCCAGAATTAAATTGGAGTGACATCTGATGACTGAGACACACACACACCCTTTAAACCTCTTATGCTCCTTTGAAACCCCTCTTTCAAAGTCACTGAGATCTCTTATTCTAGCCATGGTAACCAGAATAATGGGCAACTGGGCATTTTTAAACATTACCCTAGTGACGTTTGTTTCCATTTTGATCTATTTCCCCATTTTAGGATGATGGGATAATAATTGCTTAATTAAGTCCGGAACCACACCTGTGTGGAAGCCCCTGCTTTCAATATACTCAAGTGTTTCCTTTATTTTGGCAGTTACCTCAGCACAAACATACAGTATAAGCCCAGAGCAGCCAGACCAGAGCAGCCAGACCAGAGCAGACAGACCAGAGCAGCCAGACCAGAGCAGCCAGACCAGAGCAGCCAGACCAGAGCAGCCAGACCAGAGCAGCCAGACCAGAGGAGCCAGACCAGAGGAGCCAGACCAGAGGAGCCACCCCAGAGCAGCCAGACCAGAGCAGCCAGACCAGAGCAGCCAGACCAGAGGAGCCAGACCAGAGGAGCCACCCCAGAGCAGCCAGACCAGAGCAGCCAGACCAGAGCAGCCAGACCAGAGCAGACAGACCAGAGCAGCCAGATCAGAGCAGCCAGCCCAGAGCAGCCAGACCAGAGCAGCCAGACCAGAGCAGCCAGACCAGAGCAGCCAGACCAGAGCAGACAGACCAGAGCAGCCAGCCCAGAGCAGCCAGACCAGAGCAGCCAGACCAGAGCAGACAGACCAGAGCAGCCAGCCCAGAGCAGCCAGACCAGAGCAGCCAGACCAGAGCAGCCAGACCAGAGCAGCCAGATCAGAGCAGCCAGCCCAGAGCAGCCAGACCAGAGCAGCCAGACCAGAGCAGACAGACCAGAGCAGCCAGCCCAGAGCAGCCAGACCAGAGCAGCCAGACCAGAGCAGACAGACCAGAGCAGCCAGACCAGAGCAGACAGACCAGAGCAGCCAGATCAGAGCAGCCAGACCAGAGCAGCCAGACCAGAGCAGCCAGACCAGAGCAGCCAGATCAGAGCAGCCAGACCAGAGCAGCCAGATCAGAGCAGCCAGACCAGAGCAGCCAGACCAGAGCAGCCAGACCAGAGCAGCCAGACCAGAGCAGCCAGACCAGAGGAGCAGTGCAACCACCCAACACCCCACAGCAGCAGTACCACATCTCCCTATCAGCAGCTGGGCCTAACAGCCTGTGGGCTACAGTACAGTATGTAATGACAGAGAGGGCGAAAGCCCTGCTGAACCTCACTCTAGAGCAGTGCTTTAAAGTATGTTATCTTGAAGCTAAAGTCCCTCCTGACCC